GGTGACGGCTAGGGAAGGGACTCAGGATGCAGGAGGTTTGGGGAGCAAGCTCTTGGAGCTGTAACTGGAAGAGGAGGGACAGCGCTGCATGGGGCAGCAGGGACCTGAGCTGGGAGCTTGGAAGGTGCAAGGGTGCTTTAATCGTCCTGAGCAGGGGCTAGGAGGCCAGGCTGGGGATGTCAGTCGGTCACAGAAGCAGTGTTGGGAAGGAGGCAGGACGATGAGCCAGGCAGCTCCCACTGTGGGCGGCAGCAACCCCAGGAGGACAGACCCTTCCGTCCTGGGAGACCTGGGTGCCACACTCCAGGGCCATCATGGGGGAAGCAGTGAAGTAGGAGGTGACGCCAGGCAGGGCAGGCTGGTCAGAACGGGGAGAGCCGTCCCTTCCCTTTCCTCAGGGACAGCGGGGACCATCGGGAGATGCCCACGATGGGTAAGCCAGGTCACTTCAGGCAACTTAATTCCTCTCTGTGCCTCCATTTTCTCACCAAACAGTGGGGTTGGTTATGTGAACTTCCTCATGGGGTTACCATGAAGCTTAAATGCACGAAGGCACACAAAACGCACAGAGCAGTGCATCACACGGATGCTGCTCTTACTACTTAGCCGTTGGCAGAGCTGAGTGCATATGGTGACCTCCTCCCCCAGTCCCCCAAGGCCCAGCGTGTGGCATGAGGAAGACCCTGGAGGGACACGTGTGTTACAAAACCTTTCCAAATACTGGCAAGTGAAAGTAGTAACACAAGCCCGACGGCCCAGCTCTCCAGAGCCCCTCGTTGGTGGTTGGTGACACCTTCCCTGCCCTCAAATGCCACCATGTCCTGGATGTCTCTGTGCTGTCTCTGTGGGCCCCTGGACTCTCTGGTGGCTTCTCATCCATCCCTGTGCCAAGGACCCACTAGGAGCAGGACAGAAGGGTGTGCAGGGCCTTGGGACGGCCCTGTGCTCCTACCCCAGGTTGTAGGCCACTGATCAGGGGTGGAGAATCCACAAAAGGAACAAAGGGCCCAGTGCTCCATGCTCAGTCTGTGCTCCACTTCCTGGGTGCCCCATCCTAAGTCTGCGCTGGGCCCCACAGTTGTTTTGGGTTATCAGGGTACAAGAACAACCTGGGTATCTTCATTTTCTTTATGATCGACTCTTCCCCAGACATTGAAGTGCAAAGAACTTTAAGTCATGGGGCTTAGGAAACTTGGTTTACAATAAAACACATTGGATTTGTCCTTATAACACACAAAACTAGAACATGTCTTCATCTGCTACCTTATGATACCCTTCAAGTAGAGATTTTATTATCCAGCTTCAGTCCCATTTTGTAGATGAGAAAAGACAGAGGCTCAGAGAACTGAGGTGTCTTTTCTTGAAACACTGAACGTGCTCAGGACTTGGAATCAGTTCCTGTGTGTGTGTGTGTGTGTGTGTGTGTGTATGTGTGTGTGTGTGTGTGTGTGTGTGTGTGTGTGTGTGCTGCTTGGGACGGGACCCAGGGCCCTGTGCATGCTAGGCAAGTTCTGTACCACTGAGCTACATCCTCGGCCCTTTTTAAACATTTTGAGACAGATTCTTGCTGAGTTCCCCAGGCTGCTGGGAACTTATGATCCTCTTGCCTCAACCTCCCAAGTAGCTGGGATCACAGGCTTATACCAACTCAAACTCAGGTCTTCTGTTCCCACTTCCTGTGTGTCAACTGGGTCCTGCTGTCTCTGCCCTGCTGCAGTGTGAGCCTCCCAGGGCCTTAGTTTCTCCAGCTGTGTGTGGGAGTTGCTCACTTGGTGACGCTGACCTCCAATCTGGGCAGCTGGAGTGAATGGGTAGCACACGGAAGATGGGGACGGGTGCTGTCTGGTCCCTTCTCCTCCGGCCCCAGACGCCACCTCTCAGTAACCTCCACCACCTTCCTGTGTGGACCTTTCGCTTCCACTTTATTATCACCTCATTTGTAGGATTTTAAGGTTTCTTACCGGGAAAGGAGAAAGGAGCTCACACCTCCAATTCCGCTTCTCAAATATACCTTCTTCACTTGTGAAAATAACCTTACTAGCAGCATCTAAGCTGCTGCAGCTTTCTCTGAGAGACACCCAAATAAATAAGTACAGGGGGAACCAGGACAGGGGAACAACGTGGCCGGCTGGGGGAGCGAGGGTGCTGGGATGCCAGCACGCTGTCTCGGGTTTGGCAGAACTGAGCAAGAGGGCTGAGCAGCCTTAAGCAGCCGGCCCCTCCCGCGAGCCTTTGCCCTCTCCAGGAACCATCTCCTGTGGCCAGCTCCCCAACACCTGGCCCCTTGTCTGGATTGATTCTCTGGGCAGCTCCCCCTCAGAGCAACAAATGAAATATCGGTTACCAGGAGAGAGGTGGGAGCCAATTAACCCCCAGACCTCACCACAGCACATGCACCCGGAGGAAGCTAGGGGGAGAGGCACACACACCTGCCCGGCCTCCCTTCGAAGTCATCCAATTAGGGCAGCCCCCAGCAGTGGCCCTGTGGCCTCTCTGGAACCCATCATCCCGACACCAGGACAGCACTGGTCCCTGGGGCCTCAGCCGCCCGGGCACAGGATGACCTGCCGGCCATTCCTCCTGGGATGAGCCCCAGGGCGCCTCCATCCTCACGCTGGCCCTGGCAGGGACATTATTCATTCATTCACCACTTTTCTTCGAGGGGAAGCCATGAGGGGAGGCTTCTGTCTCCTTCCACCATCCTTCTACCACCCGCTCTCTGCTCCTCTCTGCCCTCTCTGCTCCTGGAGACTCCTGGCTGGAAAAGGGGGCCAATCTCTCCTTTGGGGAACCTGTAGCCTATCCCTTCCTCTCAGCGAGACCTAATTTAACAGAAATCCAAACCACTCATGGGGCCACAGACCCCGCATGGAGGAATCTTCAAGCCCTCCTGTACGGGGCACACAGACCCCACCCCTCGGGGTAGACGGCACAGTGAGAACCACTCCTGTCTTGGAGGCCCCAAGATGAGGGAGGAGACACAGCCTTGCCTTCTGGAAGCTTCTAGACCAACGGCGGAGACAGCTCTTGCTGCCAGTTATCCCAAGTGTAAAGGAAAAAGTGGACTTGGCCCTTGGGAAGCTGCTGTGTGGGGTGGGGAGTCCTTTCCTTTGACCTCTTGAGGGACAAGCAGCTGGCACTGCAGGGAACCTTCAGCCCTAAGGGGTGCAGCAGGGCTCTGGCTTCAGTCCGGCCCTGGCTGTGCCACAGCCTTCCCACAGGATCAAGAGCAAATCCCAGATCTCCTCGAATATGATTCCCTCATCAGCAAAATGGAGATTCCATCCCACCTCTCAAAATGACACGAGAATTGTCAAGTCACCGGGAAGAAAAGCAGGCAGCCAGCCAGACACTTGAGGCCAGAGGGAGTCACACGTACTTTATTGAAACAGCACTCCTGGACCAGTCCCCGGGGACCTGGGGCAGGGTGGGGGTCCGGGGAGGGGGCTGGGGAGCTCTGGGCCAGTGTGGCCATTAAGGAATTCACGGGGCACTGTGGGCAGAGCTGAGAGGCAGGAGTGGCTTCCAATCTAATCACAGCCCACAGAGCATCTAGTTCCAGCCAGACCTGCCAGGGGTTTTATTGGGTTTGTGGGGACCCGCAGATTTCAATCTCCAGACCCCACAGGGAAGGAACAAGCATTAAGCTAATTTTATTAAATGGCCACAGCTGGCAGTGGGGGACGTAGAGGAGAGAAGGGAGGATAAAGAAAGTCATTCAAGTCTGGCAGCCGTGACTAGGGTCCATACACGGTTCTGATCAGGCAGGAGGCCACCCCTCCTTCCTGTCCCTCCAGCTGAGCCGTGTTGGGGAGCCAGAGGGGACTTTTCCTCTTGTGGAGCCTGGGGATTCTCCCAGAGCCACTCCACAGCTGTCCCCTGGGCCAGATGCCTCTAAACACCTCAGGCTTCCGCGGGGCCAGGTGTTGGACATCAACGGCAGCCTTGGTTCTGCACTCGAGACCCCAACTCTGTGAAACACAGCACAATGGGGAAGAGCGGGGCCTTTGGGTCAGGCGTGGGCCTCTGCCTGTTCCTAGCTCAGTGGCCTTGGCAACTTCATGACCTCTCTGCACCTCTTCACTCTCTGAGCCCACAGAGCCACTGACACGGGGAAACACCCGTGTCCCAGCACGGGGAGGCTGGCACGGAGAATCGCTTAAGCCCAGGGGTTCAAGACCAGTCTGGGCAACATAGCAAGACCATCTCCAAATCAATGAATGATAAAAAAAAAAAAAAAAA